TTTGGCAAACTGCTGTGTTCTTTTCTCTGTTGGAGTATTGATGTTATTTATCTGTGAGCAGTTTTAGTTACTGTCTGCATGTCTCACCTTTTTTTTTTTTTTTAGTTTCAGGGCTTTTATGACCAGAAATAGGTAGTTTTCTTAAGCAAGTGGTATCTCATTATAAAAGGAGATGTGGCCCTCGGTTCTTGGGGCCCCCTTCTGGAGATCAGCAGGGATAGGCACCCCACTGTGTCGCTGGAGGTCTGTGGGTGAGTTGGGCCGGAGCAGTCTGTGGTGGGAGCTGGCTGGGGCCTCTTGCTGGGCCTTTACAGCATCAGTCACAGGGCAGGGGTCTTCTGATGAGCTCACTGGAGCAGCTGAGGTGGGGTGGCACCACTGGGTGACTGAGCAGTCGGGGAGTGTGGAGCACAGTGCCTGCCCCACCGGTGAAAGGGACAGAGTGGTGTGTCCTGCACAGCCCAGCTCTGGGGTAGTTGGGCAGGATGTGTGGGACGGTGAGCTCTGGGAGAGGCCAGTGGGTGCAGGCGGCAAGGCAGAGAGCGGCTAGGTCTTGCACCTTGGACAGTTGTCTCTAAGTGCTGGTCACTGAAGCGCACCTGGTTTTTCTGTTTTAAAGAGCTTTGTTCTGGAAGCAGCACTGGCTACTCAGTAACTGTGGGTGGGCTGAAAAAGACAGACTTGGTGGAGGTTGCTAAGGAGCAGCTACATGGAAACTGCTGGTGAGAGCACAGCTCCGGGAGGAGAATGCAGAAACCCAAGAAGGGCAGTTCACGCCTCTGGTAGTCAGGGTTTGGACCAGACCCGGATGCATAAATGGACACGGTTTTGTGGCTTTTAAGCTTTTGTGCCTTTTGAAAATTGAACTTGCTTTACATTTGCACTTGTCTTATAGTTAGCCTAGTGTGGTAAATTAGGCAGTAGATGCTCTTTTATACTTTATCAGGCATTTATTGCTGTCCTCCCTCCTTCAGAGCCAGCTCCGCGTTTCGCTGCTCCTTCACCTGGGCACCTGCACTCACAACTCCACGCAGCTTATCGCATCAGACATCTCGTTAGTGCGCGCCATGTGCAGGGCCTGCTAGGAATGAAGGTTGCAGATAGGCAAGGACGACAGGGTGCAGACACGAGTGATAAACTCTCACGGGGATGTGGTGGTGACCAAGCAGGGCTTCTGGGAAGAAGTGTGCTCTCAGCGGGCGTTTTGAGGATAAACTGAGAGTTGGGGGGGGGGTTGCCACGTGAGATAGGCTCGAAATGGCATGGGCATTTAGGAGGTCATCATCGGTGTTGTGGAGTGTCGTGTGTGTATGTATGTGTGTGTACTGGGGGCAGACTGGGTTGGCAGAGACCTGGTTATGGAAGGTCATACGTGTCCTCTTGGAACTTGCTGTGTGAGAGCCAGGTCGAGCCACGGCTGAGATAAGAACCCTGTCAGGCCTGTAATCCCAGATAAGAAGCTTTATTGCTTCAGCAGGTTGCCCCAAGGATGGTTAAATGACAAGAAACATGATGCATGGCACTACTGGGTGCCCGATAGGGTGCCCGTGTCGCTTCCCCTAGTCTAGGCAAGTCCCGGGCCAGGCCTCCACCCTGGCTCTTGCAGCTGAGCCTGCACCTGGGGAAAGTGGGTCCTAGCCGGCATTCACCTCCTTCGCCCGACAGGCTTGCTGTGGCAGGTAGAGGCTCCTGGGCTGGGCGCACCATCCCGTGGCTCTTCTGTGAATTTATTCCCTAATGGGCAACCAGACCCTTGTGACCGCTGAGGTGTCCCTGCTGTTGGAGTAGAAAATGTGGACAAATGAGCCTTCAGATGTTGTTTGCTTTGGTCTTGTGTATGAAGAGAGACCAGCCTAGGTAGGTTGATGCTGAAACAATGGAATGTCTTGGCATTATTCGTGGTTTATGGGGAAATGAGATAAGAATATTTGAAGAATATTTGTCACATGGCAGCTTATAAGTATGGCATCTGTCTTGATTTGGTCGTCTGTAGTTTGGATATTGGACCAGTATTTAGGGAACTTGAATAAAATTATTGAGGCATACTGGTCAGATTGAGTTCACCGTCTTTTTTCTTTTTCTTCTTTTTTTTTTTTTTTGCATAGTAGCCAACTCCTTGTTCCATGTATCCCCATCACATAGCCATAAAGCATGAGAGGATTCACGTTTGTTCTCTCACCTCTGTGGAAAGTTGCAGTCAGCTTTGAAATTCTCACGTCAGTTTCCTAACACAGCAGACGAGCTTCGAGTTAGCTGTTGAGTCAGTTGTGCTCCGTCTCCTAGTGTTTCTGTGTTCATGAAAAGGGGGCGCCAAAGGCCTCCTTTCCTAGAAAGGTAGGAGCAGGAGCCGAATTTTGTGAGTGATTTAGAAATTACTTTTAATGTCAAATTTCCTTTTTGAGTATTTTTGGGGGGCCTTCTTTAGTTTTAGGGGAGAACCAGGCACTACTCGGTGCCTGATCAGGTACCCGTGTAGCTTCTAGAGTATTTAGAAAGCTCTACTTTCCAGAAAATGTGTGTGTGTGTGTGTGTGTGTGTGTGTGTGTTGGGGTCGAGGTGTAAGAAGGGGAAGACAGATGATGTGGTCAGAGCCCTGTGTCCTCTCGTTTACCTGTCTCTACTGCCCAGCTGTTTAGAAAAACACCCATCTCGGATAATGCTGAGGCTTTCCACACTGGATCCACTCTGTTCTGAGAGTCTGTGGTCTAGCATGCAGTTTCCACGTACAGAAATACCGTCTGCATTGTTGTTTCTAGACAGGAAATAGTTTTTGGTAAAGGAAGAATCATTACATTGGGAGGGAAATAGTTTTCATTTCTTAAAGTATTGAATGAAGCTGAGCAGAGGGAAATATATATGCCCAAGAAAAAGAATAGAATAAAAAGAATTTATTTACTATGAAAGTGCTAGAGAAAGTACAGCTCAGGAAAATTACCTTTAAAGCAAGCTGAATTTTCTTTTTTAACCATAATTGAGTATAATTTTCTTAGGTCAGTACCCGCCTCTCCCGTCCTGTTGTAAGGTCTGTGTAGGCCACTGGCCCATTTCCCTTTTGGTTCTTCCTGAGATATTCTCGGTTGATGGTGGGGAGGATGAGCCTGCTGTCAGGTACTCAGCAGGAGTATTTTGGATCTAGAAGTATTATTTTTCCTGAGACTTCCTCATTTGCAGTTTTCTTGTTTCTTCATGACAGCCGTCCTTTGTTTTCCACACAAAGCCAGCACGTTTTAACAGGTCTGAGACTGGCTCCTATCTGTGCCCTAAAACAGCAGCGCGGGTTACTTTTCCCCCTTTGCTTCTGAATCTCAAAGTAACCGTGTGACTCATAAAATCGTGGATTTGACCCTGTTTCCTCGTTTTCAAGGACGTGTTTACTTTGGAATTCAGAGGTTTGTGGTGAATTTGCCGTTACATATATACTAGTTTTATCTGAATGCACTTGTTTTTATCTCTGTTTAATTTCTGTGTCCTTTCCAGAGGGCTTTTAATATCCCTTTAGGTCACCATTTTAGTGTTTTGTTTTTTTTTAAAGGAAAAAATTGTGAGAGGGAAAAATGGGGCTGCCTTTTGCTCCCAAAGTCTAAATGAATAGTCATTGCTTGTGATGCTGGTCTCCACTTGATGCTTCCCACTGCTTTCGGTGTGATGCACCCGGTGCTGTGAAGGTAATGGTCCTCAACCGCAGCAATATTCCGTAACAGGGGGATCTGTCATATTCATCGGGATTACCATGTTCATTGATTTGTGTCTGTAAATCTGCTGTTTCTACCCTTTAAATTCGATCTATAATTGGACCTCCTTAAATGGTTCAGATAAGGTAGTCTGTATTTCCTCGATGCGGCATTGCTGTCAGCGTCTCCTTTTTCATTATACATTCAGCAGACTTGATAAAAGCAGCAGGACACCTCGTTTGAAACTGTTTAATCGCTGCCTTTTTCCTTCACTGAACCATTGAGGTGGTCAAGCGATGTACACAAATCATTTTAAATAGAAAATATGGTTTTCTCTGTGACCCAGCTAAATAGATAGTGTTATGCAAAACAAGTTAAAAAGTAATAAATGCCAGAAAAATCTTCTAATTGGAGTAAAAAATTGTGGGCAAGTCTATCCTCTCTTGAAAAGCAGAGTATCCTGAAATATTGCCAGGACCTTGTGAAGACAAGATGATGATTTTCGAAAGATTCTCTGGTTTCTGAACAAAGCAAGTTTACGTTTTCAAATAGTGCTGAGCTGCCTTTTGCATTCGTTCCAAGGCAGCCCGTACTTACGTGTAATGCCTCTACCCTGCTTCTGCAGGGATAAATTTGCTATCTGTTAATATCTCTGCAGCATAACCTTTCAGCCATTCGCTATCATGGTAATAAATTTTTGTTTCTTTGTCTGTCATTTTGTCTACTCAGCTCTTCAAAGTACAAACTAAAAATAATAGCTCCAAATAAATGCCACATAATAAAGTGTTTTACAGTTGTAGCTGGGATAACCTGGTGGCCGCGGCTTGCATTCCTATTACCGTTGCTGGTGCGCCGGCTTCTTCCCTGCGTGTCAAGGTGACTCTGCCAGGGCCAGCTCATTAAAACAATCTATTCTTTCTAACTGGCTTGGTATTTAGTGCTATACCCAGTAGCCTGCCAAGGCATGATATGGAGCACGAGACTCACAGCATACGACATAGGAGGTGACGTGGCATCTACTTTTTTTGGGGGAAAAAGATTCTTCATAACCTCATTTTTATGCTACAGCATTTTATTGTGAATAATTTACAATTATGCCTGTCAGTAGTAGAAGCAGGGCCAGTTGCACATTTACCCAAGGTGGTGGTAAGTGTGATCAGGCTGTGGAAGAGCACTCTACTGCGTTTATTGGCCCTGCAGGATCAGTCTGTACCCTGCACTTGAATGTGACACGGGCATGCTCTGCTGCTTTTGCTGCCTGGAGGTAAACTTGAAAGGGAGACTCTGGGAGTTGGTAAAATATACTAAAAGTACATCTTCTTCTTACAGGTTCTGGCTCCTTGGCCGCAATGGCCGTGTTCGAAGATAAATTTAGGCCAGATATGGAGGTACGTAAGTCCCTGCAGTTTTTCTCTCTCCACATGTTTTTCCTGTTGCATGTTGATCATTTGCAAATCGATTGCTGGTTGCCCCACAGCTTGGACAGCACTACTGTTAGTTGGCGTGTTTTCTAGCACAGAGGAGACTGGTTACTCAGAAGGCTTCCTTTTGTGGTGGCCCGGCTCTACCTGCCCTACGTCAGGCTTGTGGAGCCAGCACTGTTCGGTGTTTTGCTCTGGGCCTTGGGCTGTCTGGGTTCGCCTTGGCTGTGAATGGTGTTGCAGCGTGGAATGTTTTCTCGTGCTCTAAACTTTCCGTGCCATGATATCTCAATATGACAGGTTTTTCTGTCTTCCCACTAAGAGCAGAGTGACTGTCTGCTGCTGCATGTCACACAGACCTGACCTGAAAAGGAGGGAGGGTCAAACATCCCTGTAGATTGTTCTGTATCTGGCAGGTGGGGCAGGACCATGTGTGGTGCAGTCTTTCCAGGGTGTAAGATTCTTTTACTCTGTTTCTTTGATGGTGGGGGAGGTGGTGTCCTTCAAATAACGTGCTACCTAAGTCTGCTTTACAGACGGGTGTGCCTCCCATTAAGCAACTCCTTAACCCCCTAGAATGTTCAGGAACAAATCCAAACTGGAGGGAGTGTTCAGTGTGCTCAAATATTCTGTGGTACCACAACATTCCTCTGCTGGGCTGTATCCTCGCCACTAAACCAGTGTGCAGGCACCCAAGTCCTGAGGCACCCTTCATTGTCTGCTCTTGGGTTTTTGGTGGTCTTAATCTTTTGATGGGGAACGTCAACTTTTCTATAAGTAGGAGGGCAGTTTGTGAGTGGTTTACTCTATTCTTTTTTTTTTTTTTTTCTTTTTTAATAGAAGTGACTGCTTAGGGCATGTGTGCTTGCTGGAGTTGCTTAGGGCATGTGTGCTTGCTGGAGAGAGAGAGAGACAAAGATATGGAAAGTGGGAAATCACCCCCAGGGGTATGGCCACACTGCAATCTCTTCTCCATTCTCCTCTCGGAATTTTGGGCACACACGCACACGTGCCTGGCATGAGTTTTAAGCTGCTGGATCCGGGACTTGAACTGCAGTCAACTACGTGGGAATCCAGCCATGTAACCATGATGCCATCTGCTCGTCCCTACCCTGTTTCTTAATATGTAGGCTTCTGTGCATCTGACTTTGCAGTGTTGTCTTGTTTAGGTACCAAAGGTCATCTCTGGGAATTCCTTTTTAACGGTGCTTTATATCAAATTGCCTTTGAACAAGATTGCATATTAAAGCTATTTCTTCCTCCTCCTCAGTGCCATGGGAGCTCTGTAACACTCTCTGCCCATAGGTTTGGGCCACGTGCCATGAAGACCAGAGAGCATAGAGTTGTGGGTGCTGAGCAGCCCAGGTAGGGGGGATTCTGCTGGAGACCACTGTGCCCACGATACATAAGGGTAGCACAGATAAACGACTTGGTCACTGTCCACATTCCTCCCCTTCTTAGATGTGTACAGGAATTCAAACATGTATGCAGTTTAGGTAGGGGTTTTATAGTAAAAATGATAGTGTCTTGCTCCAATTAAGAATAATAACAGGCCCAAGTACAAACTAAATGAGATTAGAATTCTGTTCTCATTTCTCAATGTGAAAATTTATTCCCATATCAGCATTATTTTCTGTTTAGGGTTCTTAAATACACAGAGAGAAAAATAAGACGTATTAGGTCATGTGAAAAGAAAAAAAAAGTGCTCCAGTCTTCTAACTAAAAGAGAGGCCTTTCCAAGGGGCTGCAGATCTCGTAGTACTGACAAAGGGACGGGAGAAGGACTCCTGTGGCCTCTGTGAGTCAAGTCGCCTTTAGTGTCAGGCCCGTCTTTAAGCCACATTACTCTTCTCAAATTTTCTTGAAAGCTTTGTCTATTTCCGATTGATTGGGACCTCCGTATGTTAAAGAAAAAAGTTGAAAGTATAAGGTTTATGAAAAGTGACTTAACACTCCTGGAGTAATTTTAGTTTGGATTTGAAATGGTTCAAAGAGCATGGATTTTGTATTCGGGTATATCATCATTCCTTCAGTAAAACTGCCGACATTCTTGCTATGAATGTTTCTTAGATTGATTATATTGATAACTTAGAGCTCTTAGCATTCTATGGGACCTTGAGACAGGTTGACTGAATTTTCATTTTCGTTGATTATTTGAACTTAGAATCCCAAATAACTGGTTTTTCATTTCCTTGAGTTATTGAAACTTGGTACACACTGACCATCAGTGAAAATGACCTTATTAAGGTGAGGGCGGTACCTAACCTTACTTCTCTGGTGGCTAGGTGAGTTAGAGGTAAATAGAAGGCAGAAAATACTCTAATAGTTACCAGGACTTTTAACATCTAGAGTTACTTTAAACGTCCAAAGCAATGTTAGTAATTAAAAGAAAATTATTGTGAAATCCAACTATCTGTGCTGGTCATACTGCTTTGTTTTTGTAACTTTTTTTTTTTTTTTTGGAGAGGTTTTCTCTATAGGGCATGTGCGCTCGCCAGACAGAGACAGAGAGACAGAAAGCGAGAAATCACCCCCCAGGGGGGATGGCCACGCCGCAATCCCTTCTCCTCCATTCTCCTCTCGGGATCTTGGGCACGCACGCACATGTGCCCAGCGTGAGTTTTAAGCCACCAGGTCCGGGACGCGAACCGTGGTCTACTATGTGGGAGTCCAGCGACATAGCCATCATGCTAACTGCTGGTTCCCTGTTTTTGTGACTTTTAAATGACACTGTCTGTGGAAGCCAAAGACTGTTTAGCAACGTGGAGAGGGCACCATTTCAGCAGTGTCTTTGTTGCGGAAGAAAATTTGGTCAAGGCCTTATTTCTGGCCCTGCATTTACATAGAACTCATGGTAGTTAAGTTTTGGGGCTGGTTTGTGTGTATATGTGCGCGCGCGTGTGTGTGCACTACAGGGTGTGTGCTTGTGCGTGCATGTTCTCACCAGAGAGAGACAGGGAGAGGTGAGGGCACTCCTACATGGGAAATGACTACTCCCTAGTCCCTTCTCCATCTCTCTCCTGTGGGGCTTTTGGGTATGCATGGAAATCCAGGACTTTTCCCATGTGGGTCCAGCTGTTACCACGGCACCACCACCTGGCCACCCAGACAGTTATTTTTAGGTTTGACTCATGAAACAAATTCTCATCTTTATTCTTAAAACAAAATAAAATAAATCTATAGTCTTTTTTTTTTTTTTAATCTATAAATCCATACCTTAGATAATGCTTGACTTGAACTGTAGTATCTGTGTACTGAAAGTCTCTCCTTCCTTAAAACCTTTAAAGTTTCCTCATTGGTGTTGGGTACCAACTAGGATTAGGGACATAATTCTATTTAAAAAAAATTATTTCATTTTATTTATTATTATTTAAGTTTGCTATAGGGCGCGTGTGCTCACCAGAGAGAGATGGGAGTTGCAGGGAGTGAGAAAGTAAGCTTCCAGGTCCAGGACTTGAACAGCAGTCAGCTATGTGGAAGTCTAGCACCTTAACCACCATGCCACCTGCTAGCCCAGGGGTCTTAATTTTTACTGTCCAATGTGGTTATCACTAACTGCATGTGGCTTCAAGTGCTGTGCCACTGTCCAGTCCCTATCGCACTCTTTATTTAAACTTAAATTTATTTTTATTTAATTAATTGATTAAAAATTTGGTAGAGGGCATGTGTCCTTGCTGGAGAAAGATGGGGGTGGAAAGTGAGAAAGCACCCCTATGGAGGATGAACGTGCCATAATCCCTTCTCCATTTCTCCTTTGGGATTTTGGTCATACTCTTGTGCCCAGCATGTTTTTCAAGCCACTGGGTCCAGGATTTGAACTGTGCAGTTGGCTGTGTGGAATCTAGCCATCGTAACTACCATGCCTGGCTGGCTATAAATTTAATGCAGCTTATATTTATGAACTCCTGGGTTTGATGTGCTGGTTAAATATTTTTTTCCAAGGCATATGAAAACGCGTGCATACTATTAATAGAAATAAAAATGTATTCATGCATTAGCATCATTGTAAATCTTGGGAGTGAATATTGTAAGTTAGTGAAGGAAGGTCCGCTTGAGTCCTCCTTGTCTGCTCACTGTGTTTCGAATGTGCCATTGGTTCCTTACTGCTGGTTTCTGCCAGCAGTGCCGTGGGTTCCTCACTTACCTAAGCCTGTGCTTCATTATACACACTTGTCCCATTGTTCTTATGGCTGTTTTCAGGGGCCTCTCCCTGACTTGCCAATAAGAGAAGCCGCCCTTTGAGAGTAGAGGTCATGGCGTCATCTCTGCTCTTCAGCTCCCGTTTCGCATGTGTTTGCTGAGTGGAGTCCAGATGACCCTGAGCCGAAGCAGACTGTCCTCAAAAACTGCCTGGGAAATGGAGGGGACCTTCTCTTCCCCATCGGGAAGTGCTGAACATCTTTTGAGATAACGGTGATAACTAGTACTCTTCTCAAGCAGTGCTGCCGTGTCAGGGCGGGGGGCGGGGGACGGAGCACAGGCCCCCTTCAGTACACAGGCAGAGGAAAGCTGGAGCGGAGGGCACATGCTCACTGGGAAACGGCAGGCCAGAAAAACAAAACAGTGAAACCCAGCCGGGATTTGCAAATGTCTGTGACAGGCCTCTGCTCTTCCGAGTTCCCTGAGCCGACACGTGCCTCCACTGCATGCTCTTGGTTCAGAGTTTCAGAGAAAGTGCCAGCTAACCATGTGAGTTTAAGGCACGTTAAAAATCTTTAAAATTTTTTACCTAGTTGTAGTACCAACATTGCCTTGAGTGGTCATATAATTTTCATTTTTTCCCCCTTGCAAGTTCTTGTAGGTCAGGAGAACTGTGCAGATTCATTTCTATGTCCTTACAGCTAGTGTAGGAACTGCTACATAGTAGGTGTTCAGCAAGTATTTGTTGAATAGGTAGATGAAAGTTTTCAAAAGCGATTTTATTTAGTCATTCTCAGTTTAGCTTTCCTTTGAAACAATTTGATAAC